AGTTGCATTCTCTTAATGAATAGAATGATTTGTTCTAATGGTGTTTGTAAATAGGATCACAAGTACGCATCTTGTACAGCAATTAATCACTAAGAAGAATATATGCAGTGTATTATTTGTTGAAACTGTCCTTCTGATATGATTTGAAACTGTCTCATTGCTATCTGTTTGTCAATAAAACTTTGGAAAAAAAAAAAAAAGAATAAAATAAACCCAGCCCAGTGGAGGCAGGTTTCATAACAGAAAACACTTGTGTGGCCTCAGCTCCAGGGCTTTCCTCCTGTGAATTCCACAGTATGCTCTGTGGGGAGTGTTAATGAATACATCTGCTTGCCTCCTTACACAGCTGAATAATATGCGAAAACAGATCTGGTTTCCCATTTCACGAAAATGCCCAGAAAGTTTGTGTAACTAAAGTGTTTCCGTTACATAAAATTCTTTACCTTGCATTTAAACTAAAAGATATGAATTTCCCAACAGCTGCTAAAAGTCAAGGACTTGCTTACTTTGGAGCCATAAAGCGTCCTGGCAGACATTTTTATCCAAACTTGTGTTAATTTTCAGACACATCAAACCTTTACTACTGCGCTTAATAAACACGGCTGTCCTGCCTTGGACTTCCTCTGCAGATCTGTCCTGATGTCTTGCAGAGAGAAAGAGTAAGTGCTACAGCTCTGCCAGAAAGTTAGTGCAAAGGGATCAATTTACAACTTTGTACAGAATGTAGAAGCAAGACAAAGGCTCTGTGGCTGCTGCCTGTGTCTTACCATGCTTCAGAGCTCAGAAGATTTACCTGCCCTGTCACTAGTGACACCAGCAATTTCAGCAGCTTCCGAATTTATTACAGCTTTATGTTTGTTTTGCTGACTCATGAGAGATTAGGTAGGTGTGTTCACTCAGTCATTCTGATTCCATAACCAAATTGTGGGGTTTCTTTCTGAGCACCACACACACTTCGGCTTGGCCCGCAAAATGTTTCCCCTCAGTCCAGCCAAGATATTAGCTGCGCTTCTCCATCCCCCAAGCAGTTCATGCCAGCTGTTTGAGATACTTTTGAATTAGTGACTTCAGTCGGAAGAAGTTGAAACTAGAATTTCGAAGTATTTCAGGAGCCACAAAATTCATACCTCTTTTCTACATTTCTTACAAATGTAGAAATAATGCTGTGTAAATATCACAAAAATAAGCTCCTGGGTTTGATTAAAAAATGACTTTTCCAATTCCAATACAAAAAATAAAAGTAACTTAAAATGTACATTAATA